TTGGGTCTGGGAGCTAGGGATAGCAGGAAAGTGAGTTTCATCAAATTGAGCATGATAGGTGATATATAGCTTAGTGGTGGCGAGATCAAGACAGCGGAACCCTTTATGAGCAGGACTATAACCCAAAAAAATACAAGGAATGTTGCGGGGAGAAAGCTTGTTAAGCATATAATCATGCAAATAAGGATAAACACGACAACCAAAGGGATGAAAATTGTCATAATGTGGAGTGTAGCCATAAAGGAGTTCAAAAGGTGACTTACCTCCAAGAAGTGGAGTAGGCAACCGGTTGATAATATAAGCTGCAGTGCTGAAGGCATCAACCCAAAAACGAGGAGAAAGATGAGAGTGAAAGAGAAGGGTCAAGCCAGTCTCAGTCACATGACGATGTTTTCTCTCAGCACGACCATTTTGAGCAGGTGTATATGGACAAGAGAGTTGATGGTGAATGCCAGAATTACGTAAATGAGTTTTGAAACAAGTACTAGTAAATTCGGTACCACCATCGCTTTGAAATACCTTGATACGAGAAGAATATTGATTTTCCACAAAATTTTGAAATAAAAAAAAATCAGATTTAAATTTTAAAGGGTAAAACCAAGTGAATCGAGAATAATCATCAATAAAAATAACATAATAAAGAAAACCCGAATTTGATTTGACAGGAGAAGGACCCGAAAGATCACAATGAATAAGATCTAACACATGAGACGACCTACGTTCATTGCGGGAATAAGGCAATCGATGACTTTTCGCAAGCTGACAAGTATTACATAATGATGGAGAAGGCAATAAAGACATAAGAGAAAGATGACCTTTTCTATTTAAAAAAGAAATAACAGAATGATTCACATGACCTAGACGAGCATGCCATAAATCATATGAAGCATGTAAAGATTTGTTTCTAAGGGCTGAAATAAAAGCAGAGTTGCCGCGCTCCAGCACATATAGCCCTCCATCTCTTTTACCGGTTGCCACCACCCTTCCTGTTTGACGATTATGGATAGTAATAAGATTATTAGTAAATGTAACGGAGAGAGGAAAATCAGACGTTAATTTACTTATGGAAAGAAGATTTTTAGTGAGGTGAGGGACAACCAAGACATCTAATAAGTGAATATTTGGAACAGGAGAAAGAGTACCGGTGTAGGTAATGGGTAGGGATGCACCGTTTCCTACGATCACAGAGTCCTTACCCGTGTAATTTTTAGACTGATCCAGCAGATGGGTCGGCAGTCATATGGGCCGAAGCTCGAGTGTCCAGAAATCAATCAGCAGCATCGGGTCCAGCAATAGAACATGACGTGTTAAAGGCTTCAGCAAGGTGAGCATGAGAAGAATTAGGTCGAACATATCGTTGGTTGCAGCGGTCAGCATAATGGCCCTCTTTGCGGCATATTTGGCAGTGAGGTGGTCGACGACCCTGACTTGAGTGGGTTCGTCCTCGATTAGAAGAGTTGTTTTTGTGAGAATAAGAACGACCTCGCTGGTTGGTAAAGGAAGTAGGGTGGCTTCCATGGGTGCGACCACGATTAGTGACTGTGAATGCTGTAGGAGTGGAGTGAGAAGACTCAAGGGAGCGCTGGAACAACTCAAAACTTTCAGTTTTAGAGACTAAATCTGCAAAACAGGGGATAGGGATGAGAGCCATTTGAGCAGTAGAAAAAGCTGAAAATTCGGTGCCGAGTCCACGAAGGAACCAGTGCACTTTATCAATGTCCTCGACCGGTTTGTCAATGGCATGAAGTTGGTCACAAATTTTTTTGAAGGCACGGGCATACTCAGCAACAGGTTTGGTGCCACGTTTCATCAACTGCAAGTCATCCTTGAGTCTCAGTTCATGAGCTTTCGACTGATGGCTGAAGGTGGTTTCCAACGCAAGCCAAACATCGCGTGTGGTAGAGAGACCAACGTCAACAGCCATGGCTTCCTTAGTGAGAGAAGAGAGCAGAAGACAGAGAAGACGTTGATCGGCTGCTCTCCATGCCAAATATTTGGGGTTGAGTGTTGAAGAGGTTTCTGGTTCAAAGCGAGGTGGTGGAACCATAGTTCCATCGACATAGCCCAACATGTCTTGACTCTCAAGGAGAGGGAGAAGTTGGCTTTTCCAAAAAAGATAATTGGAGGAAGAAAGTTTGATGGTGATCATATGGATTAGAGTATTGAAAGGAAGAAGATGATAAGAAGATTCGGAAGCCATAGAGAAGAAAGGATCAAGGTTGTTAAACCGAAAGGGCTCTGATACCATGTTAATGTTTGCTGAATCCATCACACCTAAATGGGGGTGAGAGTTCTCTTATTTATAATCATTTACAGGATACAGAAATATGTAAATTACAAATAATATGGAAATAGTAATAAAAGGAAAGAATAATAAATGAATGCAATATATTTGAGAATAATAAATAAATGCAATATATTTGCCTTTAATAAAAGGGCAAATATGGTAACCGGTAATAGTAAGGCAAATATCTAGATATTTGTCTTATAATGAACGGTTAACTATCCTTAACAACATACATCATCATACGTCATCATAAGCCATCATACATCGTCATACATCATATAATTTTTGTAGCCTATCCAGTAGTAAGACCACTTATTTGGTTGACCTTAGCCAACATTTTCCCTAATTAGTATACGTTAGCTCTTGTTCATTAAGCTGCTCCAAATATCGTCGGGGTTCATTTTCTATTACATCGTTCGTTAACTTTGTTAGTATTTCAAAAATTAATAATAATCAAACTAATATATGGGAAATACGGTACTAAAACGGCCTCAATTACCTTAATTGGAGCCAAAAATAGGTCTGAGAGGGTTGGATTGGAAATTGAGCTAAAATAGGGGTACCCGAGCCGAATAAGTCAAGGAGCCGCGCCGGGTAAGCATACCAAGCCGAAGGGCTATTTGTGCCCAGGTGGACACATGGCATGCCAGGAGTGGGCCACGTTGTGTGCAGGCGGGGGTCGAGGTGCGTTTCGGGTCAGCTCGCAGGTCGCGTCGGGTTGAGGCGCTGCAGAGTGGGCTACTGGGCCAAGATAGTTTTGGGCCTCGAGTTGCAGGTTGCAGAGGCTGGTTCCAGATGTGGGTCGCGATCGTGGGTCGTGGGTACGGGTCGCTGCCACTGGTCTGGGTCGAAGCCCGCATTGGCTACAGGTGTGTGGGCTGGACTGAGGCCGATTGGGTCGCGGGTCTGGGTTCGACCCGAATCCGGATCCATCAGATCCTTCTTCTGCACAAAGACTCGCAGCGCGATTTTCCATCAACTTTTCTCTCTCCTTCCCGCGACGTTTTCGACCTATTTTCTCTTCCTTTTTCTCTCTTTTCATCGAAGTTTCATGGTTGGTAGACGGATTGTAGGGGTAGATCTGCAGTTTTCTAAAAAATTATTATTTCGGATTCCTTTTTTCGACGGCAGCAAGCGACCGCGCAGCGTGAGTTTGCTTTTGGGTGGACATACTAAGGCCGACAAGTTTGGTCGGTTTAGGCGTCGGAGCTGTCGGTTCAATCTCGCCAGAGTTTGGATTTCTCTCTCTCTCTCTCTCTCTCTCTCGGTTTTCTCTATGTATTTTCCTTTCTCTTCTCTTCTTTGTAGGTGTTCGATCGTAGAGCATTGGCTGAAGTTGGGAATTGGGTTTGGTGATTCGTCAAGGCCGTGGGGTCGTGTTCTAGGCATTGCCCGAGAACTTCGACACCTCACCGGAATTCTCGAATTTTCAGCGATCGATCGATTTTTTTTTTCTCTAACGAGACGTTACAATTTTGATTTGAGAAAGATTGCACGTTAATTAAACTATGTTAAATATTAAAATTTGAGTCCATTAACATTATATTCAACATTATATTATTAAATTTAGTAGAATGTTATATATATATATATATATATATATATATATTTATAGAAATGATAGTGTAGAAATTATGTATTAAAATTCTGGTTGAAACAAATATGATTTTTTAAATGTATATAAAATTTTAAAAAAAAATGCTGAAAACTCCATTCCGACAACAGAAGAAAAAAAAAATCACATTCTTGTAAAAATAGAGAATTTTGTAGAAAAAAGATTGAAAGCGCCCATGGAGAATACCTCAAATGCATGAGAACAACTATAATTATGGAAAAAAAATTAGAATACTTTTCTTAGTGGTTTTAGACCCTCGATGAGAAGATTTAAAAAAAGGAGATAAATGAAAAAAAAAAAATTGATTATGGACATTTGAATTATCCAAATCCAAAAATAGAAAGATCGAAGGGTAAGAATTTCAATTTTTAGTCTCGATTTTACTTCGAAAGATTTTCTTAGTATTTGGTTCTGAAATTTTGATATATTGTTCTTCCGATGGATTTGATGGATTTTATTTTGTTTAATTCAATTTTTGCAAATTTTACCAATATTTTGAAGCCTAAATTTTTTTACCAAAACACCATCTAAAATTTAAAGTCTCGAAAATTAAGTCATTACACACATATGCGTTAAAAGAAGTCAAATATGAGATTTTAATATTTGAAGGGCTCCAACAAAGTTCTTAAAGATTCAAGAACTAAGAGAGGTTCTTGATTTGTCTCGATTTTCATTCAAATTCGTTGAAGATTTTCATTCAAATTCGTTGAAGAACTTTTCGCTGGATCGAAAATGGAAGAGTTATTTAGCCGTCACTGGGTTGATGAGTCCAAAAATGGAAGAGTTTGAGAAGAATTTTTATATATAATTAAGAACTCATGTAATTTGAGATTCTTTTGAAGTTGTTTTTAATGGGTATTGGAAAGGTTGATGGGTCGAGTTTCATTTGGTGCTCAATTATTTTCGTTATAAATTTTACTTAGTTCAAACATGGATGAAAAAATTGAGTATATAATCTTCATTACTTGTTAGGATCACACCAAGAAAGAATACAGAGAAGGAAGAAAGTACAAAACTTTTAGTCAATATTCTTCCTTGCATTTTCTGTTCTTTGTGTTCATTTAGATCGAGTATATTTGTTGTTGTGCGATCCTAACAACTGGTATCAGAGCCATTCCTTAACTTAGTCATGTCAACAAAATCCTCAAATGTCGAACGAAAAAGTTGTGAGTCTCAAAGGTGTAGTAAAAAAGTGACCCCAAGTGTCGAAAAAAGGGTTCAGAGAAAGGGGTCGAGCCTCAATTAAGGGGAGGTTGTTCGTGTTGGGATATGGAGCCTGATGTCTAGATCTGGTAGAGATATATTTGAAAGATATTTTGTAAAGATCTGGTAGAGATATATTTGGGAGATATTTTGTAAAGATGTGGTAGAGATATATTTGGAAGATATTTCGTAGAGATATGATAGAGATATATATGAGAGATATTTGGTAAATATTTCATAGAGATATATTTGTTAGATTATATGGGTAGTTTAAATCTTTGGAAGCTATATTTAGTAAATTGAAACTATATATATATATATAGCATTTGGTCGTACTCTCAAAATGTACTTTTCTTCATCTTCTGTATTCTATCTTGTTGTACATACTTGATGTCATGAATAATAAAATCTTTAGCCAATATTCCTCCTTGTATTTCCTCTCATGTTTTTTGTGTTCATCTTGATTGAGTGTGTGCGTTGTTGAGCGATCCTAACAATTGGTATCAGAGCTAACAATTGGTAATGTTTTTTGTGTTCATCTTGATCAAGTGTGTGCATTGTTGAGCGATCCTAACAATTGGTATCAGAGCTAACAACTGGTATCAATCCTAACAACTAGTATCAGAGCGAGGCGAAATTCGCCACGATCTGTAAAGATGGAAATTTCAAAGATTGGAATTGAAAAGTTTGATGGATCTGATTTCAATTTCTGGAAGATGCAAATTGAAGATTATCTGTAACCAAAAAGATCTTCACGAACCCCTGTTGGGGGTGAAGTCGGATAGTATGACCATGGAGCAGTGGAAGCTCAAGGATCGTCAGGCCTTAGGGTTGATCCGATTGACGCTGTCTAGAAATGTGGCGTTCAACATCATCAAGGAGAAGACAACGTCAGATTTGTTGAAGGCATTGTCGAATATGGATGAGAAACCGTCGACTATGAACAAGGTGTATTTGATGAGGAGACTGTTTAATCTACAAATGTCTGAAGGTAGATCTGTTGCTGGTCATATAAACGAATTCAATATGATTACAAGTCAACTGGGTTCGGTAGAAATTAATTTCGAGGATGAAATTAAAATATTGATTTTGATGTCATCTTTCCGAGTTGTGAATACTGTTGTTGCCGCGATCAGTAGTTCACGAGAATCTGATAAACTGAAGTTCGATAAAATTCGAGATGTAGTTCTTAGCGAAAGTATTCGCAAACGGGAAATCGGAGATTCATCAGGCAATTATCTCAGTGTTTGAAGAGGAAGAAGTAAATCAAAGGGCCCAAATAATGGGCGATCAAAATCAAGAGACCGAGGAGAATCTCCAAACAAACCAAACGAAGTGTTAGAGTTGTGGAGAAAAAGGTCACTTTCGGGCAAATTGTACAAAGAGGAAGCAGACACTCAAATCAAAAGATGATGATTTGGTAAATTTAGCAGAAGACATTGGAGATGCTTTAATCCTTAGTGTGGATAGTCTGATTGAATCTTGGATTTTGGATTTAGGTGCATCTTTTCATTGATCTCCAAATAAAGAGTTGTTTCGAAATTTTAAGTCTAGAAGTTTCAAGAAGGTGTATCTTGCCGACAACAAAGATTTGAAGATCGAAGAAAATAGGGATGTATGTATAAAAACTCCAACAGAAAATCAGTGGACATTAAAGAATGTCAGATATATTCCTAGTCTCAAGAAGAACCTGATCTCTATTGGTCAGTTGGATAGCACAGGTTATGCAACAAAGTTTAGTAAGAGTTCGTGGAAGATTGTGAAGGGTGCTATGGTGGTAGCACGTGGCACAAAATCTGGAACATTGTACACCACTGTAGGGTGTATGAACAGAGCTGTTGTTGCTCAGAGTGCTTCAAATTCAAGTATATGACACAATAGACTTGGACATATGAGCGTTAAAGGAATGAAGATGTCGGCTGCGGAAGGAGTTTTGGAAGGTCTGAAATCTATTGATATGAGTCCTTGTGAGAACTGCGTTATGAGCAAAAAGAAACGAGTTAGCTTCACAAAGACTGCTAGAGAATTGAAGAAAAGTATCGGGACAACGAAGCAAGTGGGAGTTGAGGTTGAGTTGCTAAAAGATTCACCTAGTGATGTTGTAGCAGATACTTAAGAAGTTCATGAGACTGTTGTTGAGAAATCAGAAGCAGATCAAGTGACACTTGAGCAGCTGTTGAAAAGATCATCCAGAGCCATCAGAGTACGAGATAGATACGTATCTTCTTTACACTATCGGTTGGTGACTGATGAAGGGGAACGAGAGCCCCTTGATGAGGCCCTACAGTTGGAGGATACAACTAAGTTGGAGCAAGTCAGATGATGGGATGTCTAGGCTTCAGAAATGCGTTATTCTTTCCTCTGTTGAGGTTGAGTATGTGGCAATAGCTAAAGCTGGAAATGAGATGATATGGATGACAGACTATCTAGAAGAATTAGGCAAGAAGCAGCGCGAGAAGATTATTTAAGTAGATAGTTAGAGTGTCATGCAGTTGGCGAGGAACCCGGTCTATTATTCAAAGACAAAACATAGAAGGCGATACCATTTCACTCGAAGGTTAGTGGAAGATGGTGATGTGTTTAAAGAAGATAGAGGGTGCAAGTAATCCAACAAACATTTTGTGTTGATGTTGGAACATTGAGGTTCTGCAAAGCCTCAAATGGTATGGTATAGATTGAGAATGAAATTCTTAGTTTACTGGATCAATCTCCAAGTGGGAGACTGTTAGGATTGACTGGATCAGCCTCTAGTTGGGAGATTGTTGCGGTTGACTGATCAGTCTCCAAGTGGGAGATTGTTGGGATTTAGGAGAGATATATTTGGAAGATATTTCGTACAAGTCTGGCAAAGATATATTTGGGAGATATTTCGTAAAGATCTGAGATATATTTGAAAGATATTTCGTAAATATTTGATAGAGATATATATGGTAGATATTTGGTAAAGATTTGAGAGAGATAAATTTGGTAGATTATATTAAGTTTAAATCTTTGGAGGCTATATTTAGTAAATTGAAACCATATATATACCCATTAGGTCATGCTATCAAAATGTATTTTTCTTTATTCTATCTTGTTGTACATCCCCGAAGTCATCAATAATAAAACCTTTAGCCAATATTTCTCATTGTATTTTCTCTCTCCTGTTCTTTGTGTTCATTTTGATTGAGTGTGTGCGTTGTCGAGCAATCTTAACAATTGGTATCAGAGCTAACAACTGGTATCGATCCTAACAGTTCGATTATGCCTCAGGAGAGGTGTTAAGGATAATTGACCGTTCATTATAAGGCAAATATTAGATATTTGCTTTACATTACGGCTTACCATATTTGCCCTTTTATTCAAGGCAAATATATTGTATTCATTTATTATTCTTTCCTTTTATTGCTATTTCCATATTATTTGTAATTTACCATATTTCTGTATTCTGTAAATAATTATAAATAAGAGAACTCTCACCACCATTCAGGTATGATGAATTCAGCAAACATTCACATGGTATCAGAGCCCTTTCGGTTTAACAACCCTAATCCTTTCTTCTCTATGACTTCCGAATCTTCTTATCATCTTCTTCCTTTCAATACTCTAATCCATATGATCACCAACAAACTTTCTTCCTCCAATTATCTTCTTTGGAAAAGCCAACTCATCCCTCTCCTTAAGAGTCAAGACATGCTAGGCTATGTTGATGGAACTATGGTTCCACCACCTCGCTTTGAACCAGAAACCTCCTCAACACTCAACCTCAAATATTTGGCATGGAGAGCACCCGATCAACGGCTTCTCTGTCTTCTACTCTCCTCTCTCACTAAGGAAGTCATGGTTGTTGACGTTGGTCTCTCTACTACACGCGATGTTTGGCTTGCGTTGGAAACTACGTTCAGCCATCAATCGAAAGCTCATGAACTGAGACTCAAGGATGACTTGCAGTTGATGAAACGTGGCACCAAACCTGTTGCTGAGTATGCCCATGACTTCAAAAAAATTTGTGACCAACTTCATGCCATTGGGAGACCCGTCGAGAACATTGATAAAGTGCATTGGTTCCTTCGTGGACTCGGCACCGAATTTTCAGCTTTTTCTACTGCTCAGATGGCTCTCACCCCTATCCCCTGTTTTGCAGATTTAGTCTCTAAAGCAGAAAGTTTTGAGTTGTTCCAGCGCTCCTTTGAGTCCTCTGACTCCACTCCTACAGCATTCAAAGCCACTAATCGTGGTTGCACCCATGGAAGCCACCCTGCTTCCTTTAGCAACCAGCGAGGTCATTCTTATTCTCACAGAAACAACTCTTCTAATCGAGAATGAACCCACTCAGGTCAGGGTCGTCGACCACCTCACTGCCAAATATGCCGCAAAGAGGGCCATTATGCTGACCGCTGCCACCAACGGTATGTTCGACCTGATTCTTCTCATGCTCACCTTGCTGAAGCCTTTAACACATCATGTTCTATTGCTAGACCCGATGCTGCTGATTGGTTTCTGGACACTGGGCTTCGGCCCATATGACTGCCGACCCATCTATTCTAGATGAGTCTAAAAATTACACGGGTAAGGACTCTAAGATCGTAGGAAACGGTGCATCCCTACCCATTACCCACACCGATACTCTTTCTTCTGTTCCAAATATTCACTTATTAGATGTCTTGGTTGTCCCTCACCACATTAAAAATCTTCTTTCCATAAGTAAATTAACGTCTGATTTTTCTCTCTTCGTTACATTTACTAATAATCTTATTACTATCCAGAATCGCCAAACAAGAAGGGTGGTGGCAACCGGTAAAAGAGATGGAGGACTATATGTGCTGGAGCGCGGCAACTCTGCTTTTATTTCAGTCCTTAGAAACAAACCTTTACGTGCTTCATATGATTTATGGCATGCTCGTCTGGGTCATGTGAATTATTCTGTTATTTCTTTTTTAAATAGAAAAGATCATCTTTCTCTTATGTCTTTATTGCCTTCTCCATCATTATGTAATACTTGTCAGCTTGCGAAAAGTCATCGATTGCCTTATTCTCGCAATGAACGTAAGGTCGTCTCATGTGTTAGATCTTATTCATTGTGATCTTTGAGGTCCTTCTCCCGTCAAATCAAATTCGAGTTTTCTTTATTATGTTATTTTTATTGATGATTATTCTCGATTCACTTGGCTTTACCCTTTAAAATTTAAATTTGAGTTTTTTTATATTTTTCTTCAATTTCAAAAATTTGTGGTCGTATCAAGGTATTTCAAAGCAATGGTGGTACCGAATTTACTAGTACTTGTTTCAAAACTCATTTACGTAATTCTGGCATCCACCATCAACTCTCTTGTCCATATACACCTTCTCAAAATGGTCGTGCTGAGAGAAAACATCGTCATGTGACTGAGACTGGCTTGACCCTTCTCTTTCACTCTCATCTTTCTCCTCGTTTTTGGGTTGACGCCTTCAGCACTGCAGCTTATATTATCAACCGGTTGCCTACTCCACTTCTTGGAGGTAAGTCACCCTTTGAACTCCTTTATGGCTACACTCCACATTATGACAATTTTCATCCCTTTGGTTGTCGTGTTTATCCTTATTTGCGCGATTATATGCCTAACAAGCTTTCTCCCCGCAGCATTCATTGTATTTTTTTGGGTTATAATCCTGCTCATAAAGGGTTTCGTTGTCTTGATCCCACCACCACTAAGCTATATATCACCCGCCATGCTCAATTTGATGAAACTCACTTTTTTGATATCCCTAGCTCCCAGGCTCAACCTCTTTCCTCTATTCCTATTTCAAATTTCTTGAAACCACATCTTTATCATATTGATTTATCCCCCCTACCACTTCATCACTGCACATTCCTCGACCCAGTTCATCCCCGTGTGATATTTGTTCTGACCTTGTGGATGAGTCTGTGTAGGTTGATACTTCTCTTGCAGGTTCCACTTTGCCACCCTCGACTTCTAATTCGACCTCTATTGAACCTACTGTTGATTCCTCTTCTTTGAGCACTCATCCTATGATCACACAAGCCAAAGCTGGTATATTCAAGACTCATCATCCAGCAAATCTTGGTATTTTGGGCTCATCTGGACTTCTTTCTGCTCTTCTTGCATCCACTGAGCCAAAAGGATTCAAATCTACGGCTAAGAATCCTGCTTGGGTGGCTACCATGGATGAAGAAATTCGAGCGTTACAACAAAATGATACTTGAACTTTGGTTCCTCGCTCTACCAACACCAACATCGTGGGCTCTAAATGGGTGTTTCGTATTAAAATTTTGCCTGATGAATCCGTCGAGCGTTTCAAGGCTCGTCTTGTTGCCGAAGGTTATACTTAGGTTCCTGGTCTTGACTACACTGACACTTTCAGTCCGGTTGTCAAAGCTACCACTATCCATGTTGTGCTTTCTATTGCAGTCACAAATAAATGGTCTCTTCGACAACTTGATGTCAAGAATGCTTTTCTCAATGGAACTCTCATTGAACGTGTTCATATGGAACAACCTCTTGGGTATATTGATCCTCGATTTCCCACTCATGTTTGTCTATTAAAAAAGCCCTCTATGGCTTAAAGCAAGCTTCTCGTGCCTGGTTTCAGCGTTTTAGCTCATTTCTTCTCACACTTGGGTTTTTTTGCAGTCGCGCTGACACGTTCCTTTTTGTCTTTCATCATCAATCTAACCTTATCTATTTGCTTCTTTATGTTGATGACATTATTGTTACCGGCAACAACTCATCTCTTATTGACAGCTTTACTCGCAAGCTTCATTTTGAGTTTGCTACCAAAGATTTGGGTTCTCTCAGTTACTTTCTTGGTCTTGAAGCTTCACCCACTCCTAATGGTCTCTTTATTAGTCAGTTAAAATATGCTCGAGATATTCTTACTCGTGCTCAGTTGCTCGATAGCAAACCAGTTCACACTCTCATGGTTGTTTCTCAATACCTGACTGCTGATGGTTCTCCTTTCTCTGATCCTACTCTCTATAGATCTCTTGTTGGTGCCCTTCAGTACTTGGCTATTACGCGTCCAGATATTGCCTATGCTGTCAATTCTGTCAGTCAATTCTTGCATGCCCCTACTGCAGATCACTTTCTTGCTGTCAAACGTATTCTTCGCTATGTCAAAGGAACACTCCACTTTGGTCTTACCTTTCATCCATCCACTGTTCCTAGTACGCTCGTCGCTTATTCGGATACTGACTGGGCTGGTTGTCTCGATACTCGTCGTTCTACATCCGGCTATTCTATTTATCTTGGTAACAATCTCATTTCTTGGAGTGCCAAAAAGCAACCTATTGTCTCATGCTCCAACTGTGAATCTGAGTATCGTGCTCTTGCCACAACTGCTGCTGAACTTCTTTGGGTTACGCATCTTTTGCATGACCTCAAGGTCCCTATTTCATAGCAGCCCTTACTCTTATATGACAACAAAAATGCTATTTTTTTTTAGCTCTAATCCCGTTTCTCACAAGCGGGCGAAACATGTTGAACTAGATTATCATTTCCTTCGAGAACTTGTTATCGCTAGCAAACTTCGCACACAATATGTACCCTCTCATCTCCAAGTTGCTGACATCTTCACAAAAAGTATTTCTCGACCTCTATTTGACTTTTTTAGATCCAAGCTTCACGTTCGTTCAAATACGACGCTCAGCTTGCAGGGGGGTGTTAAGGATAGTTGACTGTTCATTATAAAATATTTATCTTACATTATGGCAAAGGTAAATATATTGTATTCATTAATATTCTTTCCTTTTATTGCTATTTCCATATTATTTGTAATTTACCATATTTCTATATTCTGTAAATGATTATAAATAAGAGAACTCTCACCACCATTCAGGTGTGGTGAATTCAGCAAACATTCACAGGAGGGAGTCCCACATTAGCTTATTTAGAGGATGATCATGGGTTTATAAGTAAGGAATATATCTCCGTTGGTACGAGGATTTTTGGGGAAGCCTAAAGCAAAGCCATGAGAGCTTATGGTCGGAGTAGACAATATCATACCACTGTGGAGGTTCATGATTCCTAACCTATTGACCTTATTTAGCTACTTACGGGAAGAAATCTTTCCTAAATTCCTCTGTGGTCCTCGGCCTTGTGGGTTAGATAGACATCTCTATTTCTTTCAATCTTTTTTTCCATTGAGAATCTCTCCTCAACGAACAACAACTTGAAATACAATCCACACCAACATGAACTCTTCCTTATGTGATTACTCCAATGACCCCTACGTGTTTTCTGACTAATGAATACCATGATGCTCATTCCTTCTTCACTTTTGTTGACGATTACCTATAACGTCGAACGTACAATACTTGACGATGCATTTTCAACCTCCCTCTTTTGGAAATGCAAGTTAATACCAACTCCAACTTGTGTGAGAGTCCTTATTCAATGATGCTACATTCACGTAAAGCTCCACCAAGAACACATCACGTGGGGATGCTAGATTTTGAAAACCTCCACTCCATTTGTTTGTGTTGGCCCATTTGGTCTGTTCCAAGCTATTGAATTGTGGTATTTGGAAGTCAAAAGGGTTTATTTTATTTGTAATAAAACATTATCCATTAATATTATTCGAAAGATTTAATGTTATTGTTGCAATGTTGAAAAATATATAGTAAGATCATATTCAAGAAAAAATGATCTAAAGTATATGATAAATTTGAGTGTAATAACACCCTAACAATATAAGAAATTGGCTTCAATGAGAATAAGCCACACATGTAAGACTCAATGAAAGAAATTAAGAGGAGTAATCAAGGACAAGGGTCTTAACCAACTCATTTCTATACCTTCAAACAAGTAATTTGAAGACAGGCCTTTGGAAAACGATTGGAAAGGAAAAAAGTAAGTGAAAAGGACAAAAAGGTCATTTTTCTAATTATCATGTTTCTTTTAGTTAATTCCTTATCTAGAACTAATTTTTCTCAAGAAGGAAAAAATTAATATTTAGAAAGTGGCAAATTACCAAAATACCCCTAAAGTTATGGATAATTATAGATATGTCATTCTGCTCAAAATCAGTACAAATAAGAACCCCTTTTTATCACATGATTTCTTCTTCATATAGATAGATATAGGATCTATGGAGCAATTACTTAGAAGTACATTTTGTGCAACAGTCCTTCCTATCTGATAGAAAAGGATCCCATGATCCAGAACCGATCTTACCTGGGATCGCAAATCCCAAGTTTGTCTATGAAGAGCATATATAATTATATTAGTGTCTATAATTGATTTCTTCTGCTTAATACTAATCGATAGGGCCTCATTGGTAAGTGCTACAAGATCTCGTACATTGGAACCCATGGTTATGGAACCGAATCCATTAGTATGGAACATTTTCTTTTCCAAGTGAAATCCCCTAGTATATGAAAGAGTGAAAAGAACTCCCACAGTGACCTCCTGGACAAAATCCTTCGAACCTCAAAATCTAGCCGTTGGATCTCCCCCAAAATTGGACACCATCTAGAAACCTCATAGATCATCACATCCAACGGTTATGATTCATAACCAAGGTCGGTAAGGCTCTGATCGAAGTACATATTTTCGACAGATTATCTAGAAAGTTCAATCTCCAAATCATGACGATTTTGGAGCTCTCAATGTATGTTTAAGCTTCCCCTATAAAGTCTGAAGTTGGGGCAGTAGTTTAGAACAAAAATCAAGCAAGGTCGAGCTCTCAATCGTCGGCAATAAGCATTTAGATTTTGGGTCTCCTACTCTCGGATTTCTTCCAAATTTGAGAGCACTTCTCCACCATTTGTCTTCAAACTTGTTTCTATAGTTTCTAAACAAGATTACCCACAAGTTCTATGAAGAAATCGAGTGCTGAAAGTGCCTAGAAACCATTCCCCCAATCCAATATGCTATTAAAGAGCTTAAGGAAAACTCAAAAATCCAATCCGATGATACACGATAATTCTTTGAGGAAGAACGATCCCAATAAGTTTTTGCACCTACAAGAAATGTTTCCCTAGAAGACCACAAAGAGAATGTAATAGCCCAAAAATAAATAAAGAAATAAACAAATAAAATAATTATAAAAATAGTTAAAATAATAATAATAATAAATTAATTAATTAATTAAATTTAAAATTAAATTTAAATTTAAAAAAATATATATTTCCCTACTTCTCTCCGGTAACATCTCATCCCTTCCCACAATTATCTCTCCTCAATCCATCCTTGAGCCAACTGAAGAAAAAAAATGGTTAGATTTGAGGAGAAGTAAAATGGGTTTTCAATATATTGCAAGATTTAGAGATTTTTGTTACTGGTAAAATCCTATCTCAGATTTCCTTTTCTTTTATAGTTATGGTTATAAGAAATTAATTTAGGATCAAATCTTCTCTCATATTTTAACAACACCAGCGTCAGAATCTCCACCACAGATTCACCTCGCTCCGGTTGGTAGTTCCGACCATGTCGGGAATCGACAAAGCCTTTGTTCTATCCGACGCCGTTTCATACATATATATATATATATATATAGGTAATTTGGGACATTCCCCACTACCATTCATTATCCAAAAGTCATGCACCTAATTAATTATGAACTAATGAACCTATGAACCTACATGTATCTATTCATACATGACCTTATACATGTATCTATACATGTATCTATAAGTGACCATTCAATACATGTATCTATTCATACATATATCTACAAGTGACCCTTCAATAAGGAATGCTTAAAATGTTTACAATAACATTTTGAGTTTTAAAAATAAATAAAAAATAGGTTAAATTACATACATGGGTTTGGTTGAGTTAAAAAAAAATTCCAAAATTTACGAGAACATTTTGTAGTCTTAGTAAGAGGGAAAAGGGTTAAGGATTTACCCGGTATGAGATATCACATTGTTCGAGGAACCCTAGATGTTGTCAGAGTAAAGGATGGTCAACAAGGACGTTCTAGTGCGTTGTAGATTCTTATCCAAGACTTGTATCAATTGATGATACCATGTGATAGCTAGAAACATGTGAAGTATATGGCTAGCCCAATAACGAAAGATCTTCTTTCCAAAGAGATTCGATTCGAAACTCTTATATGTCTAAGGTCTAATATTGAAATAATTTCAGTGGTTTTCCTTGACTTTGTCTGTGTCAACAAACAACTCGAAATGCCTCGACTTTTTTAGAATAGGTCAAAGTCAAATAGTAATAATTCGAAGCTAGTTAGTGAGATTGGTGACTCAGCGAATAGGGTTTGGGCTTTGTTGACTTTATATATTGACTTCGAACTTTGATGGCCTGTGAGCTCAATCTTTGGTCTTAATCGTTTAGGCTTTAGGTCAATTTATCATTTAAGAAACCTTCCTTTTGATTATTTAAACTTGTGAAAATTTCTAATATTACTATAGTATATATTAATTACATTTAGAATTACATTTAGAAATTGACATGTTAAACGTGTCGAACATAGTTAAAATATGCAATGTTATGACCATAGAAATGGGAATGGACGTATAAATGTACACTGACTGTTAAGTAGATTCAAATGAAAATTGCCAAAAAAAAAAAAAAAACTTGGTAGGCAACAGTATCTTATAATCTATTATAGATACTAAAAATAGTAGCTTCGAAAGAAAATTTCGTCACTACGAAGTTTGTAAATATGAAATTAAAGTATCGATATGAACAAAAAAAAAAAAAAAAAGAGCTAACACCATAAAAGTTGAAACACTATATCGTGAATGACACAAGTGACTTTATTAGGAGCTAAGCTTTAGAAGTACTGAGATGTAGAAAACTCCTCCGCCTTGAAAAGTTTTAAATCTAAGTTTGAGAACAACAACAAGTATGAAAGCTATGAGGTGAATTAAAAGTATCGAGTCATAGTTTGGAGGAGATATTACGATCACAATCAAAGTTTTATAAGTATTTATGGAGATGGACGGTTGAGATATTCAAGATATCTTAAATTTAGGAATGATTTAAGATTGATTTGGGAGATGAATCACCGTAAAAAAAATGTTTAAATGATTAAAAAAATGTTAAAATTCCATTTGTTAGTTGAAGACGACTATCCACAATGGTATGATGTGGTATGATATTGTTCACTTTGAGTATAAGCTCTCATGGCTTTGCTTTGGGCTTCTCCAAGAGAGGACTCATTTGTTCGATATTTGAGGATTCTATTGACATGGCTAAGTTTAGTGCATGGCTCTAGTACCATGTTAGTTGAACACGATTCTCCACAATGGTATGATATTATCTACTTTAAGCATAAGCTCTCGTGGCTTTGCTTTGGGCTTCACCAAAAGGCGTCATACCAATGAAGAGAGTATTCCTTGATTATAAACCCATGATCATTCTCTAAATTAGCGAATTTGAGACTTTCTTCCAACACCTCCCCTCGAACAAAGTACACCTCCCCTTAATTGAGGCTCGACTTCTTTTTCGTTTGGAGTCTTAGTCATTTTTTACTATGACTTCGAGGAGCCTCGACTCCTTTATTTTTTGGAGTCCTTTGTTCGACATTTGGGGATTCTATTGACATGGCTAAATTTAGGCATGACTCTGATATCGTGTTAGTTGAACACGACTCTCCACAATAGTATTATATTGTCCACTTTAAGTATAAAGTGTCATGGGTTTACTTTGGGATTTCCCAAGAAGCCTCGTACCAATGGAGATAGTATTTTTTTATTATGAACTCTGGTTTTGATTATAAAATGTGCTAGGGTTTGGTGTGTATATTCCATAGGTAGCAGGGGATGTGTAGTGTTGTTGAAATCCATTAGGCATTAATTAGGGAATGTTTTTGTAACCTTTTGTTCGGCCACCCCTATGATGGTTTTTTTAATGATAAGTCCCTAGATCTTAAGTGGTATGTATTTGCATTCCTTAACCCCAATAGTGAGGCTTCTTTAAATATTCAAGTCGTGTGTGTGTTATTCCTATTTCAGGTACAGGCAAGGGATTACACTACGGCTAACGATGGTATTGCAACACGATACCATGACACATGCATAAGGTAGCTATACTTATTTTCTTATAACTAGGTTAGAATAGGTTGATTTAAATTTAACATTTATTTATTCATTTACTATTTCGTTTTGTTATTTAAAAGATGTTTTTCGAACATATAAGTCTATGACAATGTTTTAAAACGAAGTTTATGTTTTACGATAAAATTTTAAATGTTTAATTTCGCATATGAATATAGATGATGACGACGGTTAATTTATATTAATTTGAAGCAAACTTATAACTAATATATTTGTTCGAGATAAATAAATTTATGGTTTAAAAAGGCCACTACTAAATAAAAATAAAATAAAATAACCAATTCATTTATATAAATACAGCTATTTATATCATAATTTATATTCCATTGGAAGCTTGCAATATGGTTTTTCATATATCTAAATATATATGGTAAGAGTTCTAAGTTTATTAGCTCTCCTAATCTCTAATGGGTATTCGTCGCCAACCCCGTAAAGTTACATAACACCTAAAAAAAATAACGTGAACATAAAAATATATAAGAACTCATTTATAAGCTTATAATTAGATATCAATCTCACTTAAAATCAATATACGTTGGTCTAACTTAATCTATTACCTTATCTAGTAACTTAATCTATTACCTTATCTAGTTAAAGTTTCTAACTTAATCTATTACCAAATCAATATTCAATCAATTCAACTATTCATACTTCCAATCTCGTAGCCTCACAGTGAACAATAATCAATCATTATCGAACACTTCCACATGCTACTAACAGAGTTCAATAAATTACTTTTACTGAATTGAATCATATATCAGACGTACCTAAACATATAATCATATACAAACTTATCCTACGAGTATAGTACATAGGAAGTTTCAAGTAGATACTTACCTCATTCCGAGCTCGATTTTAGAAAACCTAGAACCTTTCTTTGTCATAACTTCCGAAAGCATATTAAATATTTGCACAATCTTGAAAATAAATAAATAAAAACAGGTCAAACCGACCAATTAGACCAACACATGGCTCTCTCTCTCTCCCAGTCCAATCTGGTGACTGCCAATTTCTATATATATATTCAATTTTTTTCATTTTTAAAATAGGATCTGACAAGTTATATAGATTTGAAATTACATTAAAGAAGAGAATTTAGGTTAATCTTCATTAATTAAGAGGATAATATGGTAGAATAGACAGAAGGCTATGATTCCTACACCCAAAATTCTGAAGTGATACATTATAATTCATTGATGGGTATGTCATCAACTCTCTACATTCCAATGTCACATTTTTTCTTTTTTACATCAGACTTTAATTAGAACAACCAACTCATCCAATCTATTCTCTTTCTATTTCTTTAAAACTAATAAAATTAAAAATAATAAAATGAAATAACAAGGAGGGTATTATATAATGATAGATTAACAATTTCCTAATACTGTTGACCCACAATGGATATACCTCAGTTGCAAGCTGGTACTAAACACCTTGAAAACAGGCCCTTCATTTTGTTCTGTATAACAAAGTAGATACAAATTTGAAGCTAGTCAATATCCATTTATTTTAAATGAAAATCTCTACCATTTTCTGATTAAAGGTGTTCTTGCCGTTCTTGCCTCTAGAATATTTTTTAAACCTAACCCAATTCTTCGGATTATAATTTTTTTTTAATTTAGTTCGTTAGAATTATTTACTAAGATTTTTGTGTTAAAAAAACAAAAAACATAACTATTCTTTGTTATTTTCCAAGCAATTATATGAAATATTTTAAGCTTTATGATTTTTTAATTATTAATATAAAAAATATCATAGATAAATATAATTTTTTAAATAATTAAAAAAAACATCTGAACAAGCCAATCTAAATATAGGAGGTTGGTTGGATTATAGACTATACTCATCTGATCATAATAAACTCAAAATTTTAAGTTGATCTAAACTATTTCAACAACATATCTCTAAATTAGGTATGAAAATGAATGAAAGAATGAGATAAATAAGGGAGGAAAGAAGATACCCGCTTAGAAGAATGGAGTAGGTGAGGAGGGATTTTGTAGAGATCTTCGTCAACAGGTTTAGGCGGTCTGGCATTAGATCTAGGCGGAGGACGCGGGATGGGCACGTCGTTTTGCTTCAATTTTCGCGCTCCTCCCATTTCCATCGCCTCCAACGCTCTCCCTTGCTGTTTCATCATTGGAATCTGGTGGTCCTTTAATCCCACATGCGGATACCGTTTTTCCCTCAACCGTCCCTGCAAAATCACGCCACGTTACTCTCCTCATTCATTTCGCGTTTCATTTTCTGACTCAATTCAATACTCCTAATTAATCAAATCTCACAACATCTATCAAATTGTTCTTCGCATTTACTTACTGTTAAATTAGTTCTAAAACGCAGAGAAACACAGATTAATGTTCAATTTCTCCGCCTCCTCCTTCTAATCGAAGCTATTCGCATTTACTGTTAAATTAGTACTAAAACGCAGAGAAACACAGATTAATGTTCAACTTCCCTTCCTCTTTCTAGTCGAACCTATTTAATCAGAGATCAAGAGATTCAGAGTTTTTAGAGAGAGAGCGATGTGGAGACCTTGCGCGCGGCGGTTGCGGTGGCGAGGGGCGGAGGTTTCTTCGGATCGGCGGAGTACAAGTCGGAAGGGGGAAGGCAGGGGCCGCTTTCGCCAGAGGAGGAACTGTAGCGAATCAAACCGGCTTGACGAGCGCTCTCGAAATACTGAGTGATCGGCCAGTCGTTGGCCTTGTCCCAGTCTCCAAACGCGGGGATTTGGTGGAGTTGGCCACTGTTTCTGTATGAAAAATGCTTCAAAAACAGACGAAATGTAAACAACAGAGATCACCAAAGAAAGAAGAACTTGAAAAAACAGAGGAAATGGCGGAGAGTACTTACAGAGACTTCCATAAGAGACAGAGAAGAAGAAGAAGAAGAAGAAGAAGGCAATGGATTCTTGACTTTTTGAAACAAATTGATTAGGAAAGTGATGAACAAATCAGGGGAAGAGAAATGCAAAAGGTTTTAGAGAGAGCTTTTTGGGGTGCTTCACTTTTCACACACTGCCCAACCATTTTCATTCTATTTTTCTTTTTATTTTTTATTTATTTTATTATAAAATAGATTTGACATTTTCACCCTAATTAATGCTTCTTCTTTTTTTTTTTTTTTTTTTTTTTTTTTTTTTTTTTTTTTTTTTTTT